GAGTTCTCGGAGGTTTCGGCTACGCGCCTTACCTCAAGACCTCTCGACTTGTTTGTTTTGTGTTTGGTTTTGCATCAAACACTTGTTGTTTTGCTTCTGAGGATGGGAAATAGCTTGTAGGCTATCCCCACACCTCACCGGCCATGGCTTAAGGCCACTGGCCTTGTTTCCTCGCCACCGGCCATTGGTGATGGCCGGTCGGCACTATTGATGGTCGGTCGGCATTGTGTTGGGTCGGCCGGCCACTGATCTTGGTCAATCGGCCACTTTTTCTGGCCGAGACCTTTTCTTGAGGAAGCTTGAACCTTTTGAACCCTTGGTTCTAGCTTCTTAAGGCAGCTTGAACCTTTTGAACCCTTGGTTTTAGCTTCTTAAGGAAGCTTGAACCTTTTGAACCCTTGATTTTAGCTTCTTGAGGAAGCTTGAACCTCTTGAACCCTTTGTCTAGCTTCTCCAAGAAGCTTAGCCCTTTTGCCTAGCTTCTCTAAAAAACTTGGCCTTTTTGTCTAGCTTCTCTTAGAAACTTGCCCCCTTTGACCCTTTTGCCTTAGCTTCTCCAAGAAGCTTAGGCCTTTTGCCTTACTCTATAAATAGAGGGCCTCTCCTCCGATTTCAAGGGTTGGAAAAAAATCTGATATATAAGATATATATATCACTCTCTCTCTCTACATTTGGGTGTGTTAGAGGGTTCAAAAGGGTCTTGTTCTTGGCCCATTGCACACAACTTCATAGCCACACACTTCCATCACCACTTGGAGGTTCTTGGAGCTTGTTTTTAGAGGTTGAGGGTTGCATTTTTGGGTCTAAAGGCTACTGGTTCTTTCTCTCCTCCCATTTCAAGGGTTGGAAAAAAATCTGATATATAAGATATATATATCACTCTCTCTCGCTACATTTGGGTGTGTTAGAGGGTTCAAAAGGGTCTTGTTCTTGGCCCATTGCACACAACTTCATAGCCACACACTTCCATCACCACTTGGAGGTTCTTGGAGCTTGTTTTTAGAGGTTGAGGGTTGCATTTTTGGGTCTAAAGGCTACTGGTTCTTTCTGGTCTTCAAGGGTAACACTTCTTACCCTCTTTATTCCCCATTTTTGCACACACTTTTAGCCTTACTTGTATGCATATTTGGGCTTTGTCATTAACTGAAAAAAGTCTTATTTTGAGCTCCTTTTGAAGTTTGTTTGAGATCACTTTGGTGTTTGGGGTCGTTTACCCCCTCTTAGGCCTTGTTTGGCCCCATTTTATGCTATTTTTGGTGAGCTTCGGGACCACCTTGTTTGGGCCTCCTCACCACTGAAATCTTGAGGGATTTCAGTGGTGAGGATGGTGTCTTAAGGTCCTAAGAAGGAGAGGGCAATCCCCTCTCCTTGTTGTTTTCAAAATGTGCCATTTTAGCCTCATGTGTGAGCACCATTCTTGAATTCATGTTGGCCATGTCTTAAGTGTTATTTGTGCTTATTTTGCCATGATATAGCACTATTTTTTACTTGGTTTAGACACACCGTGCTTGCTTTGCATACTTGTCTTGTAATGCCATGATTTGCCTTAACATGCTTTATGCTTTGAGCCTTGTTTCTAGCATGTTTTTGGCTTAGCTTTGTGAAACTTTTATGCTTGTTTTGATGTGCTTGAGGATTGTTTTTGGTCATTTGGGTCATCCATGCTTTTCTTTGTATAGCTACCATGTAATCCCCATTGTAGGCCTTAAGTATCGGACCCTCTAGCATGCTATCCTTGCATCATTTCAGTGGTTGAGAACCACTTGTCATGTCATTTCAGTCCTTGTGGTATGCTTGTATGCTTGCATTTGATGCCCCTTTAATGCTTTATAAGGTTGGTGTTTCATGCTCCATGTTTGTGCTATTGTGTATGCCTCTAGGATTAGATCATTTAGATGCCATCTAAGTGGTTTTTGGGGCTTAATTTGGCATGATTTGGGACTATTTTGATTCACTTTGATCATTTGCTTCATGTGTCACATGATCATAGTTTAAGTCCTTGGGCTTGGATGCATGCTTTGCTTGCATTGGTAGGTTGATTTGGCATCATCTTCTACATGTTTTTCAAAGCTTATCATGTTTGCTATGTGCCAATGTTTGCCCCTTTTAAGTGTGCTTGAAAGTTGCTTCTTTCATGTTGCATACTTAACCTCCATGCCTAGGTTGCATTGCATAGAGCATGCATGCTTTGCCTCTTGAATTGAGTATGATAGAGGTTGGGTTTTATATGTTTATTTGGTATGCATGTCATTTGAAATCAAAATGCACAACTTGGCCTCTTGGGCCATTATGCATAGAAATGTGCAATTGGTGGTCCGAGGGTCGAGCACTATACTCCCTTGAGTCTTAAACATGATATGGAGTGTGGTTGTGCAAACATTTGCTTTGAAATACTTTGCCATGCCTTGTCTGTCCTCTGCTGCTGTCAAAACAGGTTTCTGCAGGAAGATATGGTCGGTTGGCCATCTACAGTGCTGATCGACCAAACATTTGTGGCCGATATCAATATCCATGGTCGATGGATGGCCGGTGACCTTTACCCATGGCCGGTGACCTTCCACAATGCTCAGAAGGTGGTTCAGAAACATCTTGGAGACTTATGCAGTTTTCAGAGGTGCCAAACAGTGTAAACAGAGGCAACAATGGCATGGCATTAGATTTTCGGGCGAAGTCAATCCGAGTATGCGTGCATCCCTCTTCTCGAGGCCTTTTACCGCTTTCCTTAGCTTAATTGATTTGTTAATTAATTAGGTGGTTTGTAAATTATTTAATTAGCTTGTAGGTTAATTAAATTGTATTATTCTTTCGGTCCCTTCGAGCGAGGGCGAATTTGTAATAAGCGTGCGTGTGTGTGATGCATGTCTTCCAATCTCCACTTCCTTTTCCCTTTTACTTACCTGGTTTTGATGGTTAGTATTAGGACATATTTCAATTAGCATCCTTATGTTATGCATGCCTGCATCCATTCAGTTGTATTGCATGCACCGGGCATGGCGCATCATACCAATTGCATAGTATCTCAAATCTAACTTGAATATATGTTATCTGTGCATTTCACATGCCATCCATAGATTAGCCGAGCCTATTTTGGTGACATTCTGTATGTGATGCATTAGCCATTTTAACATGAACTAGGATCATGCATGATTACTAACTAGTTTCTTGTTTTGGCTCAGAGTACACTGTGAGTGTTTATGCTGTAGCATCTTGCATGTATGTGAATATTAACATGACAGCATGCTTGCCATGTGGCTATGTGCTTATGTGAAATGACTACCTGAATGCCTGCGGGTGAAGGTTGAGTTACTTAAATTGGAACAACGCATTGAATATGAGTTTTAAGCCCACTTGAGAGTGGCAAAATTATATTTTCTAAGCCCACTTGAGGGTGGCAAAATTCATGTCTTAGCCTACTTGCGTGTAGCACCATGAAACCATTTTCCAATAAACAAACATGACATGTTTCGTTCCAATTTAGGCGACTTAGTCTATACTTGTTTGATGTGCGCTTCACGTAGTAAATCTAGGCTAATAACCGAAATAAGAACGCATAATATTTTCAAAACTAGATATCATAGTTAGTAGAGGCCGATCTTTGATCGGCCGAGCGGGGGTGCTCATAGCTGACCTTCCCCAATCGTACCCATGTTCCTGAGCCGTGAGAACTTTGGTGATGACGGACATGTGGCCTTTGGCAAACGAGTCAGGGTTTCCTAAATCCCCCCATAAAAATATTTAGGTGGCGACTCTGCATCTGGAAAAGCAGTCCATGTTTGGCACTTCTTTACAAAAATCTGTTTTCCAAAATGATTTGCTGGATTTGGACTCTTTGGTTCAGATTTAGAACCGTGACAATTTGAGTCCGAACTGTAGTGACCCACAAACGAACAGAATGAGACTCATCCTCCCGGGGCGTTCGGGGACGTCTACAGATCAATACAATAATTTTTCTGGAACAAAAAGGTTGTCACATTCCAATTAGAGTCTGTGAAGAGTTGCCCAGGTGTTTATTTCCAAGTCCTTCGGAGAGCAGAGGGAAAGATCAAGGCCGATTGCATTCCAATGGCAAAGAAGAGGTAGACCAATTGTCTGGCAATGGTGGATGAAGCAAGAGTGTAAGGGAAGCGTCTGCGGGAAGAGTGGGGTTGATGAGTAAAGGATTTGAGGTGGCTAGTAGGGTTATGGAGCTTGTGATGGACAGATCTGATGTGCAGGGTAGGGATAATGATGGTAAGCATGCAAATGCAGTGGTTGACATAGGGGGGAGCGTGGGGACTGGCTATGAAGGTACATGTTCCAAGGTGAGAGGGGTGGTGCAGGATGTCAACTCCCGCTAGTTAATCATGAGCGAAGTTCAAATTATAGATGAGGCTATATGTAGCACAGGACTCTTAAGGGAGTTGAGTGGGCCAGTAGTAGCAAGGCCTAGTATAAATGTGGAAGTTTTAATTGAGGGAGTGCAGAAGGGGGCTGAGCCTAGTGGACTGTTTTAGGGGCTGGAGTTGGATCTAAGTGAAAATATGGCCTAGACTCAACTTAGGCCAAATGTAGCCCAAACAACTCACATAAGCATGGTCAAACGGACTGCAAAATGGAGTAATCTAAAGGAAGGTACAGTGCAGAAAAAAGGAAAAGTCATGGAAAAAAGGTATAGAACGAAGGAGAGGCATGTTTGGCAGACTGGGCTTTCAAAGGAGAGCTATTCTCAGAGCTTCTGCTGATGCAGCAGCTTCCTTCATAACTATTTCTCAGAGTCAGGCAGCGAACAGAAGGAGGCAATTGATTGAGGAGGCTATGTCCACTGTGAGAGTAGGCACTCTGTTGGGAATGAATTGCCAAGGCAAAGATGAGAAGGTAGTGAGCAAAATCGTGGAGCTGGAAGAGAAGGATTTAAGTAGAATTGAAGGTGAAGAAAGGGCAACCAGAGCTTAGATGCCTGTCTAGAGGGGATTGGGTGTTAGTAGTGAGTTTATCATGAAGATTTTATCTTGGAATGTTAGATGGCTGGGAAGCCAGAAAAAAAGGAAAAGATAAAGAGCTTGGTGAGGGAGAAATGTGTTGATGTGCTCTTTCTTCAAGAGACTAACAGAAGCTCTATGGATGATCATTTTGTGAAAACTATTTGGCCTTATAAAGAATTGGAATTTATGTTGGTAGATTCAAAGGGAAGTGCTGGAGGCCTTTTGTGTATTTGGAGGCCACAAGTCTTCGAGCTCAAGGGCTGCTGCAGCAGCAAAAATTTCATCATTTTATCAGGTATCTCTAGTAATTGTTTTCAGTGCACTCTTGTGAATATCTATGCTCTTAATGAGGTTCTTAGGAGGAGACAGTTATGGGACTCTCTAGTGAGTATCTGCCAACATTTTCCAAACCCGTGGTGTATGGGAGGGGACTTCAATGAGATTAGATATATGGGTGAGAGGAAAGGATGCTCATCTAGAGAAAGGGGGATGAAGGACTTTAATGAGTTTGTGGAAAAATTGGAATTAACTGATATGCCTTTGCTAGGTAGGCAGTATACTTGGTGCAATGCTCTGGATAGGAATATGTGGAGTAGGATTGATAGATTTTTGTTAGATTTGAAGTGGATGGAAAAGTTTTCCTTTAAGCAATGGGGTCTACCTAGGACAATCTCAGACCATTGCCCCATTTTGATAAAGGAAGATGATAGGGATTGGGGACCAAAGCCATTTAAATTTATCAATGCCTAGTTATCTCAACCATCCTTCATGTTAGAAGTTAAAAAGAGGTGGGAGGAAGCACAAGTTCAAGGGTGGGCAGGGTTCAGAGTAATGAGAAAATTGAACATGCTTAGGAGTCACATAAGGGTGTGGAATAAGGATGTGTTTGGCAACATTGACACTCAGTTAAAGACAATAGAGGAGGAGCTACATGAATGAGATTTGAAGGCAGAGTCTAGGTCCCTTGATCAACAGGAACTTAAGAGAAGAAGAGAAGTAAGAAGCCAGGTATGGCAGCTTAGTAGAAGCAAGGAAAGGTTGTGGCATCAAAAATCTAGGCAGATGTGGGCTTATTCTGGTGATAAAAATACTAGGTACTTTCACAATATGGCTAGTAGAAGGCAAAGAAAGAATTTGCTTGACTCTGTTGTTGTGGAGGGTAGGAGAGTGGAGGATCCAGCTCAGGTGAAACAAGAAGTGGTTAGGCATTTTAGTCAGTTGTTCTCTGAGAAATGGAAGTTTAGGCCAAAAATTTTAGGCCCTTTTGTTGTTATTAGCTCTGTGGATGTTGGTAACTTGGAAGCTGTATTCTCTGAAGATGAGGTATGGGAAGCAGTGCAGGACTGTGATAGGAACAAAGCCCCAGGCCCAGATGGATTTAACCTTGCTTGCATTCAAAGGTGTTGGTCTATATTGAAAAGGGAGATCCTATAACTGGTGAATGAATTTCACCATAATGGTAAGCTATCCAGAGGGGTTAACAACTCTTTCATCGTTCTTATTCCTAAGAAGGATAATCCTATAGGCTTGGGAGATTATAGACCTATTAGCTTGGTTAGTTCTGTCTATAAAATCTTAGCAAATGTGCTTTCCAGGAGGCTTAAGAGAGTTCTTCCATCTGTGATTAGCGAGGTACAGTCTGCTTTTGTGAGTGGTAGGTACATTTTAGATGGTGTGCTAATAGCAAATGAAGTTGTAGATGAATGGAAAAGATCAAAAAAGAAAGGTATCATTCTAAAATTGGATTTTGAAAAAGCTTATGACTCAATTAATTGGGTATTTCTGTGGTCGATGATGAACAATTTTGGTTTTGGAGGGAAATGGTTAGGTTGGATGAGGACTTGTATTTCTACCGCCCGGGTATTTGTTTTGGTTAATGGCACACCCACAGAGGAATTTCAACCACACAAGGGGCTAAGGCAGGGTGATCCCCTTTCACCATTTCTATTTATAATTGCAGCTAAAGCTCTCAATCTTTTATTAGCAAGGGCAGTAGAGAAGGGCTTGTTTAGAGGAGCCTCAGTTGGAGGTAATGAATTGCGTATTTCACATCTCCAATTTGCAGATGACACAATAGTGTTTTGTGAAGGTGATGTGGAGGAGGTGCTAAATATTAAAAGGGTGTTGAAGTGTTTTGAAGTGATGTCTGGTTTAAAAATTAATTATCATACGAGTGTAGTTTGCGAGTGGGTTTCCAAGAGGATGAAACTATGGGTTTAGCTCAAAGATTGAATTGCCTATCTAAGAAATTACCTTTTAATTTTTTAGGATTGCCTTTAGGGGCCAATCCTAAGAGGAAGTGCACTTGGAGTCCAATAGTGGATAAGGTGAGCAAGAAGTTGTCTTCTTGGAAGAGAAAGCTATTGACTTTTGCTGGGCGTTTGACCTTGATTAAATCAGTCCTCTCTAATTTTCTTATCTACTTTCTCTCTATTTTCAAAATGCCCAAGGGGGTTGTTAAGGCTTTAGCTAAAATTCAATCCAATTTCTTGTGGGGTGGATCTGATGCTAAGAGGACTGTTCACATGGTCAATTGGGGTGAGGTTACTAAAAGTAAAAATCAAGGGGGTTTGGGTGTGAGAGATTTGGGTGAGGTGAAGATTGTATGTTGCTAAAATGGTGGTGAAGATATGGTGAAGAGGACAAAGCCTTGTGGAAATCAGTGGTATGCTCAAGATATGGTCGATTTGGAGGGGGTTGGGTGCCATCTCTGTATAACACAGAAGGGGTGTCCACAGTGCGGAAAGATATAGTGCAGCTCAATTCGATTAACCAGCCTTTGGGTGAGTTCTATGATCAGAATCTTAAGCTATCGGTGGGTAATGGGAGGAGGATTCAGTTTTGAACTGATGCTTGGCTCAATGGTAAAGGTTTGAAGAAGGATTATCCCAGATTGTATAGTTTGTCCACTAAGAAAGAAAAATCCTTACAGCAAATTAGTGCTAAGAAGAGTCTAGGGGTGTGACAGCTCCAATTCAAAAGAAGTCTGTTAGCTTGGGAGGAAGAGGAGCTGCAGAGGCTGTCTGACTTACTGGAATCATCTCCTGCACTTAGGGTGGAAACTGAAGATTCTTGCTCTTGGCTTGCATCTACTTCTGGGAAGTTTTCTGTATCCTCAGTGTGGAGTTGGTGGGTTGCAGATAAAGTCCTGGTATAAGGGTGCCAGCTAGGGTGTGGGCAAGTATTGCACCTCCAAAGATGCAGTTCTTCTGCTGGTTGGCTTGGAGAGGTAGAATAAAGACATCTTTCTTCCTCCATAGGATTGGGGTTTTACCTCCTAATGCAGAGACCTAGTGTGTGTTCTGTCAAACCGAGGTGGAGTCTCTAGAGCATATGCTTCTGTTTTGTCCTTAGGTTTGGAAGTGCTGGGCAGCCATGGCCAGCTAGTGGGATCAGTCTTGGGTCATCCCTGGCTCTGTTGAGGGTCTGCTACAATGGTGGTCAGGGGGTAATGTGAAGTCTTGGGTCTCTAGAGCTTGGCAGGTTGTTCCTTCAGTTGCGATGTGGTCAGTTTGGAAGTTAAGAAACAACTGTTTGTTTAAGGAGGTTGTTCTAGATTTTGCAGGATTATGTGAGAGAATGAAAGTGCAGATTGCACTGTGGGTAAAATGGTTCTTCAAGGTTGATTATTCAGTCCATGATCTTGTGTCTAACCTCCACCAGATTAGGCTGCAAGTTTGAAGTCTCCTTAGCTATTGGTTCTGGAAGGAGAGCGGTGTGCCACAGAGTACCTTCGTGGTTTGATTTGAGGAGCTTTGCTCTCTATCTAAAGTTTGATCAGTTTTGGTTTGAGTTTGCTCACTTATTAAACTTCAGGGGCTGTATGGGTTGCTTTTCTCAGTCTGGGATGCTTCAGGTTCCTCAGGGTTGCTTTTGCTGCTAGGCCTGAGTGCTGATTGTTTTGTGCTATTATTAGATTTGGTGATGAAAGGGTTGGAGATTATTTGCTGTTACCAGATTTTATGCTGATTGTTTTGGTTCTTCTTGGTTGTTCTGTTGTTTTGCTTTGTTTTTCACTCGTGCGTTGGTTTCTCACCAACTAGGAGGTGGGAGCTTCGTCTAGCTCCAAACTCCTCTTTATTGACGTATTCCGGTTGTTTTCATCAATAAAGTTGCTCTTTGCCGATCAAAAAAATTTCATTATATGAAACAACGAGTTCAACTCGTATGACAAAAATTTGATATATGTCGTGTTTGCTTCTACCCGGGCTAGTGTGGCTGTTGGCTTGGTGACGGCTAGCTTTCTAAATATTGTTAAACTAGTAATCAATTTAATGCAATATTTCATGTATTTATAATTATTCTCCTATTTATTGAGAAAATAATAAAATTTGTATTCAAATAAATTATGGTGTTTTACTAATTTCTTAGTTGAATTCTTGACACAAGGTGAAATTATTGATTTGAATTATAGCAAATCATACACTTAATTCTAAATATGAGAGTTAAACAGAACATAAAAAAAAAAAGAAAACAAATTACATATAGAATTCGTTTCGGGAAAGAAACCAGAAATTAAAAAACAAAAACCATTAGATTAATAAATTATCTAATTCCAAACTTTTCAAATAAAAAAATAACACAAAAATAACAATACGATAAAAATGAGATAAGCGGGACCAAGAAAATTTTCTTGGGAGGATAGAAAAAGAAAAACAAAAAAAATAAAACAAGCACAAGAAAATAGGGTGCACGTATAGGAACTACATTGAGTGTTGATGGAGAATACGAATTTTACAAAACCAACTCCAGAGATTCTCAACGTGGACATATATAAGTTAAAATAGGTTCTTTCCAAACATTTCCTCCCTGGATAAGATGACCCTCCCAGCATCCACACAAAGCACAATAATCCCCTTTTTGTAGCAAAGAACTACAACTACAAAAAAATGTATGGTAGCCATATGACAAGTAGTATAACCCTGCTTCAAACAAGCAACATTGGTAGCACCACTTATTTATACACCAACAGTAATTGAGACAATGAACCAAGAGGCAGAGCAAACTGAATAACCTAAAATAAACATAACAAAGATGATGTACCTTGCCTCGCATTTCCATGGGCAGCTACCTCGCAAACATAAAATAAACTCCCAAAAAAGTTAAACAAAGTAAAACTTCAGATACAATTATGCTTTCTTGGTTAATGTGAGGTTCTGAATTTAATGTTTTGTTTGGTTGAGAAATTTGGAAAGAGATTTGAAAAATAAAAAGGAAAAGGTATGTGAAATTAAGTAAAATGTAAGTATATTTTATTCACATTTCACCTTCCTTTTCCATTTCTCATTCCAAATCCTTTCTCCAATCTCCTAACCAAATACAGCGTAAAGAAATCAATCAAATACAAATTGAAAAAAAAAAGAAAAAGAAAACTACAATTTTTTAAACTAGACCGGCGAGCGAACCGGAAAAGGGATCGAGTGGACGGGTTACCGGTTTAACCGTTAGATTAAACCGGAATCGAACCATGACGTGATAAATATATTAAAATTATATTTAAATAAAAATAAAAATAATAAAATTAAAAATTAAAAATATTAAAAATATTAAATTATCTTAAATATTTGTCCTAATATTTTTTTTTACTGAAAAATATAATAATATATTTCAAAATATTATTAATTTAAATTTTGAAAGAGGAAATCAAATATTTAATACCCTCCATATGAATTTAATTCAAATAATTTGATTGAAAAAAGAGTAAAAATTTTGGAGGGATATCAAAATTTCAATATTCCTTCCAATACATT